CACTGCACTGAGAATGTTTCTTTCCTCTTGGAAAGTTTTATTCCTTTTTTCCCAAATATTTATGCATACAAACAAGAACTGGTGTGCAGACCAGAGGTGCAGAGGATAAGATTCACCCAAGACAAAGTAGGGAGCAGAACAGGCAGATCTACTGAAATACACTGCTTAGAGGAGCAGAGGATTGGACAGCAGAGGTCTGCACCATATGGGACACCTCCCTGGTCAAACTCATGCTGCAGTGCTATGCTTCAACCCATTGGTGGATTGACCAAAGTCTACTGCTGAGGGGAGCAGTGGGGAGATAGGAGAGGTCTACTATACTACTACATGTGGGTCACCTCCCTGGCCAGGCATCTAGCTCCGGCTGCAGTGGCTGTGGGTAGCTTCACAGTGCTGCACTTTAATCCAGTGAGCCACCAAGGAGACCCCTTAATCCAATACTTTTCATGATAAAAACACTCAAAAAACTGGGAAGGAACAAAAACTTCCTCAGCTTCTTTTGGGAACAAGATGGGGATACACATTCTCAACATTCCTGCCCAACATTGTCCTTGAGGACCTAGTCAGAGCCACTAGCAAGAAGGAGAAATAAAAGGCACACCATCTGGAAAGGAAGAAGTCAAACTTACTCCATTTGCAGATGACTTGATCTTATATAAAGAAAACTCTATGGGCTTCCCTCCTGATTCAGGTTAAGACTCAGCACTATGATGAGTTCAATCCCTGGCCAGGGAGGTGACCACATGGTGCAGCAGATCTCTCCTGTCTCACTGTTCCCTTTAGCAGTGTATTTCAGTCAATCTACCTGTTTTATTCCCTGCTCTGTCTCTGGTGAATCCTCTCATCCCACACCTCACCTCTGGCCTGCCTCCCAGTTCTTGTATGCATAAATAAATAAATCTAAAAAAAACTCTAAAGAGCCCTCCCCTACTCCTAGACAGAACAATCAGAGTTCATAAGTGGATTCAGGGAAGTAAAAGGATACAGGTGATAACTTAGAGAAAGTGGAGCATAATGTGGATTGACCAAAGTACACTGCTGAGTGTAGAGGAGAGGTCTGCTGCACCGTGGGTCACCTCCCTGGCCAGGGATCTAACTCCTGCTGCAGTGGCTGTGTGTATGCCTACATCTAACAGGGAGCAACTCAAAACTTAAGAAAACAATTTCACTTACAATAAATGAAATAGGAATAAGAGTAAGTAAGGCTGGTATATGGAAAATGATAAAACATCATTTAAATTAAGTAAATCACATAGGGGAAGACATTCTACCTACAGGAATTGCAAGAGCTGATACTGCAGTTAAGATAACAATACTTGCTGGGCTTTCCCTGGTGGGACAATGAGTTAAAACACAGCACTATGAAGCTCTCCGAAGCCACTGTAGCACAAGTTTGATTCCCCACCAGGGAGCTGACCCACTTGGACTGGCAGATCTCTCCTGGCCCATCTGCTGTTCCCCTCAGGAGTGTATTTTGGTGAATCTACCTGTTCTGCTCCCCACTTTGTCTCTGGTGAATTCTCTCAACCCCTGCATCTCTGGCCTGTACTTCAGTTCTGTATGCATAAAGAAATAAATTTTTTTTTAAAGATAGCAATACTCCCTAGACCCCTAATGCCTTTTTTATTTCTGCAAAAATTGACAAATGAGCCTAAAATTCATATAGACATAAATGCAAAAAATTCAGAATATCAAAAGAGTCTTGAAAAAGAAAAGCATTTCAGGGTCCTCCTGGTGGTGAAGGGGTTAAAGCATAGCACTATAAAGCTGTCTGCTGCCACTGCCACAAGAGTTCAATCCCCTGCCATGGAGGTGACCCCACATGGCACAGCAGACCTCTCCTGTTCTGCTTGCTGCTCCTCTCCGCAGTGCACTTCAGTGGATCTCCCTGTTCTGCTCCCCAATCTGTGATGAGTCCTCTCACCACCTTTCTGGCCTATACCCCAACTCTTGTATGCATGCATAAATAAATCTTAAAAAAAAGAAAAGAAAAGAAACATTCTAGAATTAGAGGTGATGACTGCATAACTGCAGGAATATACATTTTTTTAAAGATTTATTTATTTATGCAGACAGAACTGGGTACAGGTCAAAGGTGCAGGGGAAGTGAGTGGCTTCACTAAGGACAGAGCAGGGAGCAGAACAGGCAGATGGATGAAGTACACTGCTGAGGGGAGCAGCGGGGGCGGGCGGGTCAGGAGAGGTCTGCGGGCCCCATGTGGGTCTGGGGTGGAACTCACACTAAAGAGGTACTGCGTCCCAATCCGGTTGCGCCATCGGGGAGGGCCCAGGAATGTACTTCCAATGACTGAATACTTAAAGACGATTTTTATGATAAGTGAATTATATCTCAATTAAAAACAAAAGAGAAAAAAATTTCAATAATAATCAGGATTTAATGTAAGGGGATGGACATCCTACTAAAAAGACAATGATAGAGAAACAACAGTTCAGAATGTTTTCTAAAGGGACAGTGCAGGCTACAGATGTGTGGATTCTAGCTCCAAGAAAACAGAAGCCTAGCAGTCAAGTAGTAGCTGGTGGGGCCGGAATTAGGACCCAGAGGTGTGTCTCATAGGAGTGCTCTTTCTGTAGTTTCTGCTAGCTTTTGTGGCTCTTGGGTTCTTACAATCTGGCTGGTCTGAATTAGGACTCATGGAGTGTAAAAACACATGTTTGGTTTTGAGTAAAAAGAATGTCAAGGATAAAAAGAATGCAAAGTAGCTTAATTTCTTTACACATTATAACTTGAAATCTTACTGTTCTATGGTATTAAGCCAAACATTAAGAATAATTTCACATACTTCTTTACTTTCTAAGGCATGACTACTAAAAAGTTTAGAAGGACACACACTGGTGAGGTCTTTGGACCAAGCACCTGGCCTCTGGGTGCAGGAGGGGAGAGCTTGACCTTAGCTGATTCATGGAATGAAATCTCACTGAGCTGGTGACAGGAGGTGTAGACTAAGACCCTGGGATCATGAAGATTGAGGGGAAGGCTGGGCTTATCCCCTTCTTCCTGGATGGGAGGTTTTGGGCTTCTGGACCCCAGTGAGTCTGAAGATCTATGACCCGTTAAAAATATCTGCAAACCTGGGCCATGGAAAACGCCAGACACGGTTGTGTTTCTTGTGTATTTTGACGTGCTTTACTACTTAAGCAGAAATCTAAGAAACAACACCTCCAAAAGCTTAGCCATTAATCTAAAATACCTATGATGATGGCGGATCAATCATCTCTGAGGAGGGGCAGGGTGGGGTCGGAGAAAAAAACAAAAACGGTAATGTCAACTCCAGGAGAGTGAAAACTTTGCCAAGTTCTTTCTTGTGTCTTTAGAGTATGGAACGACAGCCAGCACTTAGTAGGTGCCCCTTAAATATTCCAACGCGTGCAGAAGCAAAATTGCGTGGAGGTGAGGATGCATTTCCCAGGGGGAGGAGGCCTCTGGTTTCTGTCAGTCTCTTAGAGAGGGCCCCCAAAGGGTTAAAAACCACTTAATCTAGACAGGGACATGAAATTTATTTGAAATCAATGGGTCGTTCTTATTCTGGGGAAGAGCCAGACCCCGGTGTCTGGAATGATCTACGTGCTTAAAAACACCACTCGCCATTTTCTCCAGGTAATTTTCCATCCCTGCCCCCACAGACAAGGGGGGGAAAAAAGTCATTCTGAAATCCTTACTGGAGATGAAAGAAAAACCCAGCGGTCCAAGGACGCAGCTCCAGG